AATCTAACTTCAAGCCCCGGGCTTGATCTATCCGTCTGATTTGTCCAAAAACCGTTTCAAAGTTTATAGTTTTTTTTGTACGCTTGAACCTAAGATTAGATTTTAACATAATTCAATTTAAAAAAAAAACAGGAAAAAATTGAACTTTGTAATTGCAATCAGCCTTATGCAATAAGTTTATCGTTAAATTGTTGCAAATGAAGTTCAGGACGTAGAAAATTGCATGATCTGCCAGCAATGACAACGCTTTTTGATTTCAGTTTACCACAAAAGGTTGTAGGCTTGAAGGTGCCGGGCCATGTTTTTTTTGCGCCATTTCGTAGTTATCATTTTAAGTTTCGATTTCGATTTTTTGCCGTTGTAAAATCTCAAATAATAAATTTAAACCGAAAGTTCTTACGCCTTTTTATTCTCCCACTAAAAAAACACAAATTTTGCCTGGTCTTTGCCCAACATCTGAGGGAAATTCTCATTCTTAAAAAAAACTTCGATGTACTATCTTTAAATTTTCTACGGTCTTTCGATGCATGAAACTGTTGCATGAAGGAGTTGGCTATTTTGGTAAGTCTCTCCACAAAAATTACTCCATGGAGTACTTGCAGTGGGTTATATTATGTAGGATTTACGAAAACTCAGATTTGGGGATCATTTTTAGTATCGAATAAAATTTGCTTTGGTCAAAATATGCACACATACATCCTAATATAATATTTATCAAATAAATTTTAATTAATGACATTAGCTTTAAATTTTTCTCGACTGAGTCTTGAGACACTAACAAAACGAAACTGCCTCAATTACATTTTCACACATTTCCCGTATTCGAATATAAATTTTATGTTATACTTGCATCTTCGTTTTTTAATTTCAATCGTTAAATCATAAGCAAGTCGGCTAACAGCAGTGTGGTAGACGTGAATTGACCCAATAGTAGACTACAGAGGAGTATATATTGGACTACGCCAATGGGTTTGCAGGGTTTGTCCACAAGTCTGCTTTCTATAAATACATATGTATGTATGTATACATATATTTATAAATATATAAATATAAATATATGTATATAAATAAACCCACAAGTCCAGGCTATCGCTACTCCGAGAACTGAGCATTTTTGCTTAGCCAAACGAAATTCTACAAATGCGCGAAGCTGCGCCGGGACAGTGGGCTTCGTCTTTATTGCTTAAAAAAGTAATGATTATAAATTAGTTGTTGTTAATTAAAATACAAAGATAATCTCGTATAGTTAATTTTCATTTTTATGCATTTAAAAGTTATTTAAAAGCGACTGTCAAGAAAAGCTTTTCACCACATATGGTGAATGAGAGAGCATTTGCTGTAAGGCTTCATAAATCGGGGTTGACAAAATCTTTCAAATAAACTTGCGGTTGTTTTTCTAAAAACTTGCAATTGTTTTAGGCATCATTTTCTATTAGTTAAAACATACATTGAAGGCATTGAAAAAATATAGTAAAAAATTTTGAAAAAATTGGAAAAAAAGGTCTATATTATTTTGGCATTTTGGCGTCTCAGCGGAGAAATTAGCTGTCTATCAAGTTTACAAGACAAACAATTTTAAGTAATAATAATAAGAAATTAAAAAGCATTACATTGCAGTTGTTAAAATTAAATTTATATATATTTGATATAAATATAATTCCACACTCCTTATACTCCATACGTTGTTCGCAAAATACCTTCAGTGAGTTTACATTTTCGAGTGCGAATTTTCAAGCAAATTATGTCATTTGCCTTTCAAAACAAAATTATTATACAGTCTTTGAAATAATGAATTTCCTGCTGGGTTTTAACAAATTTACAATAAAGTTGACCTCTCTCTTGCTCCCCAAGTACTTTATTGTACAAACCAATCCAGCCAGTATTAACCAAACCAAAAAGAACACTTGCAACAATTGCAACTATGAGTACCCGGAATGCCATTGCAGATCCAGCAAGCAAAATTGTAGTTACTAATTGTGTTGTTGTTGCTACTTTAGTTGCAACAATTGATGTTGGTTTTTGTTTGCAACATTAAAGTACATTGTGGGGTATTGTATGCATGTGTTGGCGAGTGTGAGCGCATTTACACGTGCGTTAATGCCCTGTAAGAACTCATTAGTTGACTACTACAATGGAAAACTTCCACTTTCTGCGGCGAATTTTTGAATGAAAAAAAATTATCATGCATATTTTACATCAGTTTAAATTTAGTTTTTATTTCTCGCCTGATTTCGGACAAAAAAATCGATTTTTTTTACGCAAGAAATGAAAGCCATATATTTTTGAGTATGTTTTTAAAGGGAAAACGATGAATATTTTTCAAATGGCAGCTTCTCGAACACACTTGTCTCACGCGCGCACGCAAGCAAGGCAAACTTTCAGAACACTTTGAACGCGTTTTTCTCGAAACCAGGTTTTGAAATCTAACTTCAAGCCCCGGGCTTGATCTATCCGTCTGATTTGTCCAAAAACCGTTTCAAAGTTTATAGTTTTTTTTGTACGCTTGAACCTAAGATTAGATTTTAACATAATTCAATTTAAAAAAAAAACAGGAAAAAATTGAACTTTGTAATTGCAATCAGCCTTATGCAATAAGTTTATCGTTAAATTGTTGCAAATGAAGTTCAGGACGTAGAAAATTGCATGATCTGCCAGCAATGACAACGCTTTTTGATTTCAGTTTACCACAAGANTTTCAAGCAAATTATGTCATTTGCCTTTCAAAACAAAATTATTATACAGTCTTTGAAATAATGAATTTCCTGCTGGGTTTTAACAAATTTACAATAAAGTTGAGCATAATCAAAAAAAAAAAAAAAAAAAAAATAGTAATAATAATTCAAAACAACTTCAATGTTGTTACTACTTCAAGTGCATACTATAAGTTGTTGCAACTATGTATATACACATATCTAAACAATGCTGCTGGTCTGCAGACTGTATTTTACTACAAACATAGATATGTATGTCTTCTTCGTACATAGTAAAGTGGCTTTCTATTAAGTAATTTAACACAAAATATATATATAAAAATATCAAAAATAACAAAGATAAAATGAAATAAAATGGAAATTAATTTAAATGGAGGAAACCAATAATATAAATATTTGTGTTTACAATTTGTGACTAATAAAAGTTTTAAAATTATTTTTCGACTTCTACTTAATTTTATATAAATCTCTGATAAATTTTTAAGAGCAACAATAATAAAACTACTATGGTTTTTTTATTTTTTGTTCATACATACGTATATATTTAAGTGAGTACTAGTACAGCAATAACAACATATGAAAGTTTTGAGTATTTTATGTAAGCACGTGCTTTTGTACTTATATCTGTACACAGGCATGTATATATAACGTAATTACATCTATAAATAAAAACTGGAAAGTTCATAAGCTCAAAACAGTCGCATAAATATGTAATCAGGATCAGAGTTTGACAATAAACAAGCCCCAAAGTGTTATTTGCATGTATATATGTATATACTATAACTTCAAAATATTTAGTTAGATTATTATATGTAAGTAAATATATTTAACATATAACATATAAGTGAAAATTGAATGTATTTTATTGAAGAATTCAATTGAAAACTGAACAACTGCCGAAATGAGTTGACAAAATTTTAAGGAAAATTCATATTCTTTAGTGGTGAAAACTATATAAATGTATACACGTTTGTCATCATTTTCTGTAGGTACTTATGCCACTATACTGCTAAGGATTCCTAAGGATTTAGTTCATACATTAAATGCTTTAAATAAATAAATAGGTGTACAACTTTGCTTCCGCCGTTTTTTCCAAAATTAAAAGCTTTATTGCGAAAAAGTGCTTACAGATATATTATTCAAAGTATTGTCCTTCCCTAGCGACAACTTTCTCCCATCTTTCCGGCAATTTTCGGATCTCGGCTCGAAAAAGGAGTCCTCTTTTGAGGCTATCCATGAAGCAATCCATTTTTCCAATTCTTCGAAGGATTGAAAATGTTGATCTGCCAGGCCGTGTGCCATCGAACGAAATAGGTGTAAGTCCGAAGGGGCGTCATCTGGGGAATACGGCGGGTGGGGCAAGACTTCCCATTTTAGCGTTTCCAGGTACTTTTTGACCACTTTTGCGACGTGCGGCCGAGCATTGTCGTGTTGGAGGATGACTCTGTCATGTCGCTCTTGATATTGTGGCCGCTCTTCTTTTAGCGCACGACTAAGGCGCATCAGTTGCGTTTGGTAGCGATCTCCTGTGATGGTTTCACCCGGTTTTAAGAGCTCGTAGTAAATCTTTGAAGGTTTTTNACTGCAGCTCAGAGGCAGTCATTAGACTTATGCCGCAATGGATTGTGCTGAGCAAATTTCCGTCTGGACATACTCTGCAAGACGCTGATGCATCCACAATCGGATGATTGAACGTCCGTTGCTTCATCATCGTTTGGGGAATCGAGTTCACTAGTTTCTGTTGTTTCATTTTCACTACCTTCGGTAGGTTGGAGAAGTGCTCTGTATCTAAGTTCAGAACACACTGTGCACCAGTCTCTACATCATCTCCTTAGGTATTTTCTGAGTATCTCGCAGCAGAAAATATTTTCTTAATTTTAAGTTCTTTGGTATCACTTTGAGTAGAAAGGTGACATAATGTCTTCTGGGAGACGAGATTAATAAGCCTAGATTTCTGATATTCATAATGATGCTAATTAAAATCAACACTTTTTTATTAGACAGAAATAGATTTTGTTTCCAGCATATTTTAAATATTTATTTTTATTATTCAAAATGAAAGACTAGAGTTTTTCTAAAATTTTTTTTTTTCTTTTCGAAGAGTCATTTTATGTCTGCATTCTCACTGTACAGCATTCACCGCAATTTTCAATAAAAAAAAATTGCAAAACTAACCAATATTTGACCAATGACCTTCACAAGCGCAAATTTGACTTATAAAATATGTATTTGCCTAGGCTTTATAATTATTATATTAAAAATTTTTTTTTTTAAATATTCTGTACTCACCAACATGTTGCACCGGTAATTGAATCATGTCATGTAGCAATTCATCCACAATGGTATCGTTCTCTCGGTACAACTCACGCTTAGAGATGCGCCATTGGAAACGTTCCAAATTTGTAGCATTTTTACTGTAAAAAATAATAAGTAAAAAAATTATTTCCCTATGTGCATATCTAACTATAATATATATTAATTTTTTTTATGTTATATAACGTGGCAAAAAATTGTATTATTTGCAGCGAAAAATATACCGAACTTTATCGTTTGAGTGACTGCTGTTAGATATCAGCATAATGTCACTACGAAATCAATACAATATTCCACCTCCCTGCACCACTTCGTTGTGAAGTTTTGCATTTCTCTGCAAGTCAAGCGTTCAACATCATTCACCACGTAACTTTTTGGGTGTTCAACGAGAAGAAAAAAAAAATTTGTGCTCAAAATATGCAATACAATGATTTCATTTTTTTTCTTCTCACGCTCATTTCGTTTGTTGTGGGTTCGCTTTTGGCTAAGCAGTTCAATGCCATTTTTCTTTGGTATTTTTTTCTGTTACATGTACATAAATATATATTTTCTGAAGGCCGTTAATGTTAGCCAGAAATGCTGAAAAGAGGGTTTCTGTTTTTCTTTTCGCCGCAAAGTTAATAAGGAAGCCGTTCAAAGAAGATTTAATGTTGATTTAATTTAACTTAATTTAATTTAATTTAATTTAATTTAATTTAATTTAATTTAATTTAATTTAATTTAATTTAATTTAATTTAATTTAATTTNTTATTTTATTTTATTTTATTTTATTTTATTTTATTTTATTTTATTTTATTTTATTTTATTTTATTTTATTTTATTTTATTTTATTTTATTTTATTTTATTTTATTTTATTTTATTTTATTTTATTTTATTTTATTTTATTTTATTTTATTTTATTTTATTTTATTTTATTTTATTTTATTTTATTTTATTTTATTTTATTTTATTTTATTTTATTTTATTTTATTTTATTTTATTTTATTTTATTTTATTTTATTTTATTTTATTTTATTTTATTTTATTTTATTTTATTTTATTTTATTTTATTTTATTTTATTTTATTTTATTTTATTTTATTTTATTTTATTTTATTTTATTTTATTTTATTTTATTTTATTTTATTTTATTTTATTTTATTTTATTTTATTTTATTTTATTTTATTTTATTTTATTTTATTTTATTTTATTTTATTTTATTTTATTTTATTTTATTTTATTTTATTTTATTTTATTTTATTTTATTTTATTTTATTTTATTTTATTTTATTTTATTTTATTTTATTTTATTTTATTTTATTTTATTTTATTTTATTTTATTTTATTTTATTTTATTTTATTTTATTTTATTTTATTTTATTTTATTTTATTTTATTTTATTTTATTTTATTTTATTTTATTTTATTTTATTTTATTTTATTTTATTTTATTTTATTTTATTTTATTTTATTTTATTTTATTTTATTTTATTTTATTTTATTTTATTTTATTTTATTTTATTTTATTTTATTTTATTTTATTTTATTTTATTTTATTTTATTTTATTTTATTTTATTTTATTTTATTTTATTTTATTTTATTTTATTTTATTTTATTTTATTTTATTTTATTTTATTTTATTTTATTTTATTTTATTTTATTTTATTTTATTTTATTTTATTTTATTTTATTTTATTTTATTTTATTTTATTTTATTTTATTTTATTTTATTTTATTTTATTTTATTTTATTTTATTTTATTTTATTTTATTTTATTTTATTTTATTTTATTTTATTTTATTTTATTTTATTTTATTTTATTTTATTTTATTTTATTTTATTTTATTTTATTTTATTTTATTTTATTTTATTTTATTTTATTTTATTTTATTTTATTTTATTTTATTTTATTTTATTTTATTTTATTTTATTTTATTTTATTTTATTTTATTTTATTTTATTTTATTTTATTTTATTTTATTTTATTTTATTTTATTTTATTTTATTTTATTTTATTTTATTTTATTTTATTTTATTTTATTTTATTTTATTTTATTTTATTTTATTTTATTTTATTTTATTTTATTTTATTTTATTTTATTTTATTTTATTTTATTTTATTTTATTTTATTTTATTTTATTTTATTTTATTTTATTTTATTTTATTTTATTTTATTTTATTTTATTTTATTTTATTTTATTTTATTTTATTTTATTTTATTTTATTTTATTTTATTTTATTTTATTTTATTTTATTTTATTTTATTTTATTTTATTTTATTTTATTTTATTTTATTTTATTTTATTTTATTTTATTTTATTTTATTTTATTTTATTTTATTTTATTTTATTTTATTTTATTTTATTTTATTTTATTTTATTTTATTTTATTTTATTTTATTTTATTTTATTTTATTTTATTTTATTTTATTTTATTTTATTTTATTTTATTTTATTTTATTTTATTTTATTTTATTTTATTTTATTTTATTTTATTTTATTTTATTTTATTTTATTTTATTTTATTTTATTTTATTTTATTTTATTTTATTTTATTTTATTTTATTTTATTTTATTTTATTTTATTTTATTTTATTTTATTTTATTTTATTTTATTTTATTTTATTTTATTTTATTTTATTTTATTTTATTTTATTTTATTTTATTTTATTTTATTTTATTTTATTTTATTTTATTTTATTTTATTTTATTTTATTTTATTTTATTTTATTTTATTTTATTTTATTTTATTTTGTTTTATTTCATTTTATTTTATTTTATTTATTTTTGTTTATTTTATTTTATTTTTTATATTCATTATCATTATCTTATCTTAAGAAATATTAATATTAATTACTAAAGTGTTTACCTTTGTATTTACCTCATGAGACTTTTCGTAAAATGAATATATTTATTAAGATCTAAAAGCTCCATACAATTTTCTGCCTGGTTAATACCCCGTCCAAACTAAAGATTATCATATACACGAATAAATGTGTGCATATACAAAATTGTGAATTCCAGTGTTGGCTGCATTCCAGCCAAATGCATTTTGGCATACTTTTCCTGCAATTTGCCCGTAATGATATGCAAACAAGCTGCTGCAGCAGCAGCTCTAACAGTAGCAGCGGATAACAATAGTATAGTTGCCACAAGGCGACCCCTTATTGGAAGGAAGCAAGAGAAACGACTATATAGGAAGTCAAAATATGAATGCGGAAGCACATATATGTATGTACGTAAATATCTGTGCTCGATGACAACAAAATTCTTAAGGCACAATGGGGAAATAGCAAAGTATAACTAAGTAGTAAGTGAGGTGAAGACGGAACGCTGCAAAGTTTTACAGTTTTTAAACATTTTTTCAGCACAAATAAAAAAAAATTACTCCTTGTCGCAAGTGAATTGGATAAATATGAATACGGATAAATTGCACAAGATATAAGAGTAGCTTCTCGGGTCGCTCTCATGAGCGTCACATAGCCGTGTATGTGTGAATTTTGTTGATTGTGCGCATATGTATGTACGTATATGAGTTATATGTATATATGTATGTTGTGTACGAAATTGATAAAGACACATACATATGTATGTGTACATATTTGTACGTAAACGTCGTGCATTTTTAGCCATTCAACTGTTCAATGTAGCGTACGCGCTTTTGTCAGCATTCATTTAGCATTTTACTTGTCGTTAGTGCCATCCTTGGGGTTGCACCACGGCGTATGAGTGATGCTTGCTTTGAGGTGCTTTAAAGTGGTTGCTAATGCAAGTGCTGTATGTATGTGTGTATGTATATATGCATATTTGAGCACATTAGAGAGATTTCAATACGTTGATTGAGGGAATTGATTAAATTCATTATGATTGATTACAAATTTAATTTTGGAGGGAAAAAGGGAAAGGGAATCTCCTCCATTAATAAGAGATGCTTATGGGATTTATCAAATATTTTAGCCAACGAGATAGCAATTGCTTTTGTTTTGGGAATATTTACATAAAATTTGTTTTATAGTCAACTTAATTCATTTCTTTTAATTTTTTTGTTTCTCTTAGTTTAATTTAATTCCGTTTTACAGTTAATTTTGCTTACTAAATTATATTTTATATTTTCGAATTAGTTTATTTACTTAAATTATGTCATTATAATTTAATTTTTATTTTATTTTATTTTATTTTATTTTATTTTATTTTATTTTATTTTATTTTATTTTATTTTATTTTAGTTTATTTTATTTTATTTTATTTTTTTTATTTTGTTCTATTTTATATTATATTATTTTATTTTATTTTATTTTATTTTATATGAGTTTGGCTTACATATCTTTTTTTTCGTGTTTATTTGTTATCATTGGTTACTAACAAAAATGAATATAGAGCTTCATGAAATTTTATAAAAGTTGAAATAAATACTGCTATGCAAATTTGTGTCCATAAGTAGTTAGCAGAAAGTTTTGCAGCAAAGTTTGAGATTCGAGAAAGAATATTTCAGATATGCGCATTTTGAGAATCACATAGCTATTGAAGAAAATAAAAATTAAATATGAAATTCAGAATGAAGAACAAATGACTTAAAGTCAAAATATGAATTTAAATTTAAAAACATTGTGAATAATAAAAGTAAATTATAAAAAGTATGACATTTTCTTTAACCTTTATTTTCACTCAACCATAATTTTTATTACAATACTTTCTAATTCAATTTTTATTTTAATTGCCTTATTTCTAGTTTATCATTCGTGTACGGTGGTTTGAGTTTTTAATTTGAAAGAGTTTCACTATCGGTGTCCCAAATCTTTTATCCCTTCATTTCACTTTCAATGGACATCAAAAGAAATTTCCTTAAAGTAAATTCTTCGAACCCAATTGGTATGTAAGCCGCTGGCTGCATGAGGCACGTGAGAAATTTATGAAAGCTTTGGCGCCTTTGATTTTCTAATTTATATATCGAAACGTTTTGAAGAATAAATCCTTTCGTAATTGAATCACGTAAATTTAATGTGCAACATTCTTGGTGAGCTCAGCGTCATAACTACCACCATAGTCGTACATACCAATGGAAGGCCATAAAAAATTTAAAAAAGGAATATTTACTCATATTTTTCTGCTTTGAGTAGTTG